CCCCAAAACCCCAAAACCCCAAAACCCCATTAACTTCTTTGATAGCTGAAATTTATGAATGATATATTAAAGCTGATTTTAGGGTTGGAGTTTAAGAAGGAAATTTAAGGGGTTGGAGATTATAGATGCTGTTTTAGCCCTGAGAATATATATTTGGGTGGTTTGGTGCTAATCTGGAGGTTTGCGGCTAAAGATTTAAGAGGTAGCTATGCTTTATGGATGGATTTTAATAGTTTATTGCAGTCATTGAGTTTTGACTATTATCAGAATTTCATTCCTGTGGCTAAATTTTACTCATTATTATGTATGAAGTAGATACTATCCCTCAAAACTAGGTGAAGATATTTTCTAGCATGATATTTTGCTAATAAAATTGAAAGTTTTGAGAAAGAAGCTTGATTATCATATAGAAAATTTATCATTCTCCTCAAAAAGTTGTTTTAAATTTAACATTTTGAAATGTTGCGAATTTTTAAAATTTTTCGAAGTTAATCAAGGTTAAAATTTTGAAAATGTGGCCAGATTCAAGCTAAAAAGTATCCTATGCTGTTTGTTGTGAGAAATTAGAGCAAAATATCTCAACTGTTCAACATTAGCTTTGCTTTATAAATCTTTACCAAAATTTGAACCTTATGAGTTCAAAAATAAAATATTGGACTCATCTCCTTGATAATCCATCTTTCTTAGATTGAAAGTATCTTTTAAGGATAAAGCTGGAAGTGGAGTCTATTATTAATAACCAACTTGTCTGACAAAGTTTTAAACTTGCTCAATTTTTACTAATCCACAATTATAGTCTATCGTCAGCTGTAAATTATGATTTGGTTGTTGACCAAATTTTGTGGAGTAAAAATTAGCAATGCCAAGACTTATAAGAATTAAGACTTCTTGAGGAGTTCTTTTCGTATGTTCTGCTTTGTAATATCGTGTGCACAATGGAATGTAGACTCAAATTTGAGAAAAACAACCAAATTAGTTAGTTTGATGAATTTTATGCTTTTTCTATTACTACAAATCTTTATAGCGATCAATTTTAGTTATTGAACGATTGATTGGCTATTCATAAGTAATTTAAAACGATTTTTGGCTATTTCTCTCACAAAGATGGTTGTAAAAATTTCGGTTACATTTTTTGAATTTACATAATCATAAAAACTTAGAACTGGGTTATAAGAAAGAATATCTGATGGAAATAAGTCAAACTATTTTTAGAGTGTTGAATATGCTTCTTGCACAGCAACACTTTGAGGCAAATTAAGTGTTATTTTTATTAAGATTTTCAGTTCTTGAATTGAGCATCGGATTTTAAGGACAGATTAATATCTGATTTTGTCAGAAATTCATACAGTAAATTATTTGAGCCATCATGACTTAGATATTTGTATCAAAATATGGGAAATAGTATTAAATAAGCCTAAAAGCCTTTTAAAAGAAAACAAGATGTCCTATTTTGTGATTATAGAAAATCTAAGACTCGCCTTGATATAAAAATCAATGCATAATTATTAGAAAAAGATCAAACTAATTTATTAAATACTTCAAATTGTGGTGAGTGATTCTGACATAATTGCTCTTAGCAAGAGATACACTAATCTCTTGCTCTCTGTGACACCAATCTTGCCCATTCCTACATCAAGAATTTTTAGAATAGGCATACAACATGATAAAGTGGCTTAGGATTTTAACACAAGCAACACTATCCAAGTCAAATCTTGTGTATTTTAAGCGGTTGACCAAATCAAATTTTAGGCTTCCATTATATGGCTATTTTGTGATTTAATGCAGATCTTAAACATTAGCTCGTTCATCAGACCTATAAATCAAGAGATAAACTTGAATTAGGAATAGTATTTTAGAAATAATTCTTACTGAATGCATGATGAAGATTTCTTAAAATGTCTTGAAACAGTTCATGAACATTAAGTCTGCTTAGCTAAGCTACCAAATCCTTTTGAAATAATTTGCTCTTTCACAATATCTAAAAGCCCATTAATTGTCTTAAATATTTCGATTTTTATATGGGTTTTAGAATATCTAAAGGCATCTTTGCTAGTAATATGGATGAATCAAAACCCAGTTAATAAGAAAATGAAGATTAAGTATTTTATGGGAAATGTTATTAATTACATAAACGATTTTAGTTCTTCATCAGGACTTTGGATGTCTTGCATTGTTACAAAGAATGAGTCCTGGTCTTTAGACTCAACATGAGGCATCTTATATAAAGGAACAGATTTCTTCTTCCTAGCATATAAAGGAGTTTCTTTCTCCTTGAGCTTGATTATTTTCTGCAATAATCCGCTGATCTCAGCCTTTAAAGAAGGACATTTTTGACTTGATTCTTTGTCTGAGTCACTACTGATAGAGTCTTGGTTGTGATTTCTGAATCTAGAAGGCTTAAATTTCTTTGCCTTTGAAAGCCTCTGCTCATTAAATCTTGCTGGATCTTGACTACTGAATAGTTTTGCCTGCGGCTGATCGAGCCTTTGACCAGACATGCAGGAGTTAATAGTCTTTGTACTTAAAAATCCACCTCGAATTCTTCTAGCATAAAGAGAAGACTCTGAAAGAACGTCATCACTGATATCTCAGTCATCAAAGAACTTGTCTTTGTTACTTTTAGAGATTTTTGGAAAGATTTTAGCAGGAATTTTATGCATAGCAGCACTCATATTTTAGATTAGATTATTTTATTTTAAGGATATTCATCATTTATATAATATTCCGGGGTTTTGGGGTTTTGGGGTTTTGGGGTTTTGGG